GGCATTGCACGACACAGGTGTACTTACTTACACACAGGCAATATACACATACACATAAAATAAAAACAATAAATAAAAAATATATATATATAAAATAAAATACTAAAAAAAAAAAAGAAAGAAAAAACAAGAAGTTATGACCTACCTGGAAAAATCTGAATTCTGACTAGATTTGGTAACATTAAGTACCAACTTAACTTTATAGGGGTGATAGTGTTTTAAGGGCAATTTTGTTTTGAACCCTCATGCTTTGGAAATGCCTACTGAAATGTATACAGATGATATCATCTGGATTTGTTTGAGTTATTCAGGTAGATGGTGAAGATGAAGCAAGACCAGCTGTAAATTGTAAACTGGCAAGCTAGGTGATTGGGTGCAATTCACTTTACTCTTCTCACTACTATTGCGGACGTTTGAAATTTTTCACACACAGAAAAATAATCTGATTTTCAGATAATGCAGGTCCTGTATGCTCGGCCTCACAATTCCTAGTCAGAAATCATAAGAGATGTTTTTGAGCTGTGCCACATTAATCTGTTGTTGCATTTCAAAACAAGGATTCTGTCCACTTATTTTTCCCTTCAGGAAATTCATGAACTGGAAAGAAATAACGCCTTGCTTCACTTAGGAAAACAAACTTTGGGATACACATGATCTCCTTTATCATGATCATGGGGGAAATCCAACCAATGAAAGAGGTAAAGAGGAAACCCAAAGCAAAGACAAGTATTTACAGTAGCTGCTTCTATAACAGTTGCTCCTAGCACAAGTTCTCTGGCCAAAGAGCACTTGGCAAGAGCCTGAAAGCTGAGACTGGGGCTACAGCTCAGTTGGTAGCACACAAAACCCTGGGTTCAAGCCACAGCACCACATAAACCAGGCTTGGTGACACACGACTGTCATCCTAGCACTTCGGAGGTGGAAGCAAAGGATCAGAAGTTCAAGGTCAATCTGAGATTCATGAGACACAAACTCAATTTAAAAAAAAAAAAAAAAGACTGTGAAATTCAAGACTCAGCTGAAAACTTTTAGCCTGCAGTGAAGCTGCCAGGGCTACTGTGACGACCGGTCACACGTGGGCTGGTCAGCTTAGAAGCCGCCCCTGCTGCATTTGATATTGGTTGTGCAGATGTCTAGCTCGCTCTCTCTCTCTCTCTCTCTCTCTCTCTCTCTCTCTCTCTCTCCCCTCCTCTCTCTCTGTCAGGAGGCTGTATGGCAGTGTTCTCAGTGGTACAAGGGGACAAGAGCCATTACATGCTGGGGGAGAGGCCGATGAACTCTATGAAGTTGTGTTTGCCAGGTCACCTCCTGCACTGCAGGATGGAAACCAGGTTCCCCTGACAAGTAGTCCCAGTCAGACAGAACCAATTCTCATAAAGGTGAACTCAAAAGCCAAGGGGGCCACTGTGAATCCAAGCAAGTAATCTTATTTTCAATTTTTTCTTTTGAGACAGGATCTCATGTAGCCAGACTAGCCTCAAACTCACTATGTAGCCAATGCTGATCTTGAGTTCTTGATCCTCTTGCCCCCAACTCACAAGTACTAGGATTACAGGGGACCAGCGAGATGGCTCACTGGGTAAAAGCACTAACCACATAAGCCCAAAGGCCTAAGTTTAATTCCTGGAACCTATATAAAAAAGCAGGATGCAATGGCACAGATCTGTAACCCCAACACACTTACCGTAGGATGGGAGACAGAGATAGGAGAATCACCCAGAAGCTCGTGGGCCAGCCAGCCTGGAGTATGCATGTGCCTGCAGTTATACACACAATCTCTCTCTGTCTCTTTCTCTCAAACACACACACACACACACACACACACACACACACACACATACAAATAATAAAAATCTTAGGCCGAAAAAAGTACTAGGATTACAGAAGTGCACCACCATGCCAGCTCCAACTCTTTTTTAAAGGGAAAAAAAGCATACGGAGGACTTCAAACGGGTTCTTGACTCTCAGAGAAAAATAAGCAGGAAACAGGTGGGAGAATTCAACTTAGTGAACATGTGAGGGCCTGTTATGTGCCAGTTGCTGTAGGAAATGTGGGGATAAATGAGACACTCCTTGCCTCCAAGGAGAGTGTGGGAAAGGAAGGAAACAGATGCACAAAATTTCCTAGAAGATACTGAAACAGAAGGCACCAAAGTTCTGTGATCCAAGAAAGGAAATTCTGTCACTAAGCCAAAGTCTAACTTTGGACAAATCATTTAATCTCAATATTTCATTGATAAAACAGTATTATTCTTTCCTTGCTTATGTCTGAATTATAGACTTGTAAGGCTCAAAACTTCTAAAATAAATTAGCAATGATGATGATGATGATGAAGCAGGAGGAGTAGAAAAGATTCTTTTAGACCCTGCTCCCCTAAGGGCTTGTGACTGGTGCCAATGACTAGCTTTTCTGTGGATAGAGACCAGAATTGGGGCAGGTGGTGTCCATCCCTCAGCCAGCCCATGAACACCAGCACCCTGAGCCCTCACTCCTAAAGCTGGATCCCACTGGCCATCTCATCACATGTTCAGGGGCTGCCTCAGCATGAGCAAGCCTCAGCAACTTGTTCCGAATTGCCTGGTGCAGACAGTAAAGGTGCTGAGTCCCATTCTCTTTATAAATCTCAGTGCTCTGGAGCCAGTAGGGACCTACCAGATCAATGCCCAACCCTCCCATTTATACCATAGGTGATGGCAGCTCCATAAAGAAAAATGACCTGCTTGAGGTCACTCACCAAGGCTGTGGGACAGTTTACATTGGAGTCTTGTTCTTTGGACATCCCTGGTCCAGTACACCCATCCTCACTTTCTAAGGAAGGCTTAGCCAACACTAACTCTACTGCCTTTAATATGCTTAGATTTCCTGCCCCCAAATAACCTAATTTGGCCCTAACTTCCAATAAAGACTGCTTAGGGCATAATTAAGAAGAAAAATTCCTCCTATAAGGAGGAATTAGCCTCCCAAGCTTTCTGTTCTTTGGGGGAAATGTTTTCCAGTGAGGCAGGTGACCTTCCTTATAACCTGGTTTATACAAAAGGAAATGAGCTGCCCTGGTCTTGAAGGAGCTCAGGTGGCAGCCCACCCTGGCTGTGTGCCCAGAATACAGCATTGTGAGTATGGAAAGGCTGGCAACTCTCTTAGGAATTCCTGTCACCCTGCACCATGTCTCTGCCAACCCTTGGTGTTAGCATGAGTCTTTAAGATGGCTTTACTTTGCCCCTGGCTACCCTTCAAGAGTAACTGTCTTTCTCCAGTTTTTCCCTGGAGTAACTGCTTTGGTAACCTAGAGTCTTCCTCTCTCCTAGCCACCATCTTGTTGTAACCGAGTTGCTTTGGTTCCTGGAATGTGAGGCTTTGAAAATAAAAATAGTACACCCCAGTGGAGACTCCAGCATGCATAGGTGGGAAAACTGGTGTCCAGTGAAAGGTTGAACTAGAGATGCTGGAATTCCTTCAGACTCTTATCACTTCCAAAATGGTGCATGTGAAGTTTGAGACCCTGGGAAGTTAACTATGTGCCCAGACTTAGAAGAACTAAGCTTGAAACCAACTCCTCCTAGCATTTAAAAGGAACAAAGGTATCAAAGTATTACTTCTGACTCTCTCCACTCTCAGATGAGGTCCCTGCCTTAGAGAGCAAGGTGTAGAGGGCTGGGATCCCATGGGGCACTAGAACTCTTGTAAACAGTGTAGTTATCTATGGAGGGATTCTCTGAAGAATGGCGTTCCTGCCCCCTTTGCTCTAGTTTACATCCTTCCTTATACTTACAACCTGACGAATAAACTCCAGCTGGCAAATCTTGATTCCCAGCTCTGATAGAGTCATGGAGCAACATGGTTCTATCCTGACGAGCCACAGCATGCCAATGATTTGCTTTTCTGAAGAAATCTCAGCCCGAAAATCTGTTTAATTACCATAGGAGATAATCTTTTAACCATAGATTTACATTCTTTAAAGATTTTCCCCCCTGTGGAGTAGTATGGTCTATCTGAATGTGGGATGATTGTTTTCATTCCCAGAGGAGTGACTGCTATCCCATATTTAGCATGGAACATGAGCCCTGGACAATTTTCCTTTTTAAGCCTGCTCCACCTCACTGATAGCTTCTCAATTTTATTGTAATAATTAGACAGTAGTATTGTCATACTTTCCTTCCAGCTAAGATCCTGTACCTGCACTTGGCTCTATGATGCCAGCCCTATAATTACTTGATCTTTTTCAAGCATCCTTATCGAGTTGCCTTCTGCATTCTAAATGTGGGTATCAAAAGCTGGTGTCCTTTGGGTTTCTTGTAAGGAACATCACACTGTGAACCCACCAGCATCAAAGACCTACTTGAGTTATGGTCAGTCAGATACTAGTTTCTCCAACATGGCATAGACAGGCAGATTCATCAAATTCTTCCCCACTACAATACCAGCTTGGGTGTTTCTATAGTGTCCAACCTGATGGCTCCAAGATCTGTAGCAATTTGTGACTCATAATAGGTGCTCAAAAGGCAGATTGTAAATTGTTAGCCGTCAATAATCTTCATCTAGAGTGGATATGTATTATGTCAACATATGAATAAACCTGATGTTGGAGGGCTCTAGTTTCTGACCTGGACTCCTTTAATCCTTCATTTCCCACAGCACTTAAATGGTAGATGATCTTTTTGTATTCCTGGCCTGATTCTATAGCTGAGATCTCTGGGTCTTCAACAGTTTACCTCTGAGCCTAGGACAAACTCCTCATCTTCATAGCAGTTATAATGAACAAGAGTATCAAGTATTTCTTCGAATCTCCCCACTTCTGTAGGAGGTTACCTCCTTAGAGAACAATGTCAGGATGTCAAGGGACCAGCACATACACTTTCACTGTTGTAGAACAGTAGGTTTGTCTATGGAAAGATTAAGAAATAAGTAAAAAGGAGTAATTGTAACAAACACAGGTTGGAAGGTAAAGAAAAATTCTATGTGGAAAACTGACTGAATCTTGAGCTTGATTTTTTCCTTGTAGGTCCTACTGGGGAAAAGAGCTGGTCTAAGAAGTACCCGTCGTGTGGGGGACTCCTGCAGTCCCCAATAGACCTGCACAGTGACATCCTCCAATATGATGCCAGCCTCATGCCCCTGCAGTTCCAAGGTTACAATGTGTCTGCCGATAAACTGTTGAACCTGACCAATGATGGTCATTCAGGTGAGGGAGAATCAGAGAGACCCTAAGAGACAGGTCTGAGCCACCCTTGAGTCCCTGGGCTCCTTTTCCATCTGGCATGGAGAGGGCTCTACTGATATACACAGAAGGGTCTGTGTGGGAAGCCTGTGAGACATGCCTGACCCACTTTCTCCAGGGAATGGTGGTAGCCCTAGCTCCAGTGATTTTTCTCTGAGCAGCACATCTCAGAAGAAGTACATCTCTCAGGAGGGAGAGGAGATAGTAGTCCTGGGTCCAATAGTCCATTGGCTGAGCTGCAGGAGTGAATTATGTGCCATCATGAACTATTCAAGGGATTAAACAGCTTAGTTGCTGGGGGTAGGCGCTCAGGGTTTAAAGTCAAACAGGCTGGGTTTGAATCATGGCTTGACAACTAATGAGTTATTAAATTGGGTAAGAACTGTAACTTTCTTGAGCCTTCATCTGGAAGAGGGATTTATTAATGCGTTCTGTAAAGATCAGAGATTAGGCATGTCAGGGTCTAATGTATAGAAAATACTTCATAAATAGCAATTTTTGTTAAAATTTAATTCCCATGCTTGAAAAGTACCTTACTCAATGTCTGCTTTCATAGACAGGAGTTTGATATATGGCTATGTATAGAAACGTCCATCATTGGTCTAGAGTTAGTACTTTTGATATCATCTTCCAGAGAGGTCCATGAAGGTGTGGTGGCACTGAAGTTACATTAGGCAAACAAATGCTCTCAGGGAAAGAGGGCAGGTCTCTGGCCTGCAGGCTGTGTCTGCACCTTGTTCCTGCAGTCACCTGCACTCTGCAGGGGTTGTTAGCTGACTGCTCTCTGGCAGTGTTGACTTGGACAGGGCTCAGCTAGCCAGGGTTCTGAAGGCTGCTCCTCCATTCCCCACAGTGAGACTGAATCTGAACTCGGACATGCATATCCAGGGCCTCCATGCCCACAAATACAGGGCTGAACAATTACACCTGCACTGGGGAAATCGCAATGACCCACATGGCTCTGAACACACTGTGAGTGGGAAGCACTTTGCAGCTGAGGTGAGTGAATGTACAGTTTGATTGAGGGTACCTGGCAGTGGCTAGTCTGGCTCTCCACTCCCTGTGCATTGGGACAGAGCATATTTACAGTCTGCATGCCCAACACTGGCCTATCAGCAGCACAAGAAGGTCTAGCTACCTGCAGTTTGAGTGTCCTTGTCTCTTCCTTTGCTGGAACATGCTGTTTGTGTTTCTTTTTTCTTTATTGAATTTTTGTGTGTTTTATACAGAATATCTCAAACAACCTTAATCATCTTTATACCCCCATCCTCACCCATAGCCCCCGACCCCACTCTGTCATTCATGTTAAGGCCCAGTGTGTCAAGTCAATATCCCCAGACATTCCCCAGTGCAACTCCATCCACTGAGGTCTAGTCAGTCAACTCCTATATTAAACTTCACCCACCCAGGGCTCAGGGACCATTGTGGAAGAGGGGGCAGAAAGATCATAAGAGCCAGGGAGGAGGTGGAAGACCATATGGAAACAGAGTCCTACAAGCTCCTGAGAACCTGCTCATATGATTATATGGTAATGGTGTCAGCATACAAAAGTCCCAGGCAAACTCGGGTAGATAAAAACCAGCATAGATTTGGGAAAATGTTTGTGTTTCTTTTACTGTGCAATGCCACTGAAGAGGCCTGACTTTCAGTGGCACAGTGGGATACACATGCCCAATTTCTAGATGTCTTTCTTCTCTTTGAAGATGATGATCTCACAGCACATCTCATTGCTAAATCATACTGAGTTCATTGCTCCTCCACACTTCTCAGTCTTTCTTCACCTGTTCACAAATGCCTTTCCTGTGTCACCTTTCCTCTTCCTGGCCATGCTTGGGGATATGAGGGCACAGGTCTGAGGTCGCTCTTCCAGTTTGCCACAAATCAGGGGTTGACAGGCATTATAATATGCAATGCATCACAACAATCAGGGATTCACTGAAGAGGGTTTGGGATGTGGGCACAGCATGGTGTTATGTCACCCTGAGGTTCTAATTGAAAATGCCGAAAGAGAAGAGAGGCGGGACATTCTTCCTGTACCACAAACATGTGATGGGATGGGATGGGGAGTTGTCTTGAGTTGTCATACTTCTGAGCTCTGAGTTGGGGGTGGTAGTAGTACTGAGCATTTACAGGGAAATAAACAGGAGATAAATGCTGCTGATCAGCCAGCAAAGCCCATGGTAAATGATGATGGCACAACCATTCCCCTCTGTTTATAAGTGCTGAACTGCTTAATGTTTTGGGCTAATTATAGGTCTGGTTACAAGTGCAGAAGGGATTTGATTCTGGCCCACTATGATGGTACGACTGGAGGCTCACGTATTTCAGAGCAGACCCTTCCCTGGAGCTCAAGAACTGCAATTTCTTGCAAGCTAATTGCAATGTTGAGGCTTCTACTTCCCTCTGGGAGAACAAAGAAGCAGCTAGGATGTAGGTTTGGAGGATTTATGCATTTAAAAATATTTGTAGTTATTGTATTCGCTGCTATTAAGCCAATTATCAGACCAAAAGCCTAGTAAAATGGACCAAGACTGCTAATACTAGAAGAAAAAGCAAAACAAAACAAAAAAACCAGAGTGATCCTAAATGGCAGGTTCTTTGCAGAGAATGTCTTTGAAGTAAGTGGTTCAGTTGGATGAAGGCTACAGAAGGTTCTTTCTGGTCTGTCTTACTTCTATTTGATTTAATCTGAATACATTAAGAGCTCACTTAGGCAGACAAGTCCAAAGGTATAAAAATAAAGGCCCACGACCTAAAGTCATCTAGCCAACTAGAATTCCACTCTATTTCTCAGAGCCATTAAGATGGTTTGGGCAATGTGAAAGGCTCCAACATTTTGGGGAAAATACGGGGAAGCAAGGGCCCCTTAATAAAGGATCGCTTAGAAACATTAACCTTAGCCAGGTGATAACACCTTTAGTATTAAAAGTAAGATTAAAAAATGTATCATAATATGTACTTAGACTGTTTAAATCCAGGATTTCTCAAAAACTTCTCTTTACCTTAATAATAAATAAATTCTGATTTAAAAAAACATAGTTTAGAATTTTATTTTTTTAAAGACTTTAAAATCCATATTCATGCAATATTCTTGTTTTAAGGGCTCTTAAAAATGGTTGGTAATGGGCTGGAGAGATGGCTCAGTGGTTAAGAACACTGATTGCTCTTACAGAAGATCCAGGTTTGGTTCCCAGCACCCACATAGTGACTAACACCCATCTGTAACCCCAGTTGTATGGGAATCTGGTGCCCTCTTCTGGCCGCTGTGGGCACTGCACTAATGTGATGCACTTAGATACATATGGGCAAAATACTCATATACATTTTTTTAATTACTAGTAAACATTAATAAAAGCTATGCTGTGATTTTGCCCACCTGAGTGGACATAGTCTTGTGCCCTATCAATTATCATTAAGTTACAGCTGACAACTGCTTTCTTGCCCCACCTCCACTGCTACTGGATCAAATGCAGAAAGGTCAAGCCACGGGAAACCACTTGACCCCAGGCTCCAGAACAAAATCAGAAGAGAGAAGAACTACAGAATACCTAAGCCTTTTCATGGTTAATGTAGAAGCCCATTCATTTATTTATTCATTCATTCATATCTGTTGCACCTCTGCTACTGTCTATGCACATCATCAGACACTAGAATTCCAATGAGTGAATAAGAGAGTCTGCCCAAGTGGAGTTTACAGGTTGGAGACGACTTGGGGGAAAAGGGAAAACAAGGGCATATGTGGGTTAATTCTTTTGGGAGAAGGGAGAGAGAGAGGTCTATCCTTAGACTTGAGTTCAAGTCTTCTGAGGTTTCCTGTGAATTGCCTGTCCCCTCATGGGTGTCCTTTCTCCTCTTGCAGTTGCATATTGTCCATTACAACTCAGACCTGTACCCTGACTTTAGCACCGCCAGCGATAAGTCAGAAGGCCTTGCTGTTCTTGCTGTTCTCATTGAGGTAAGAGATGTCTAAAGGGCTTTTAACATGAAATGCAAATTTAGCAGGGAAGCAGCCAGGCTTGGCATGTAAGTTGGTAGTGAGCTGATCCTGGATGGGCCATGTCTTGATTCTAGAGCAGGAAGTATTCCCCATTGGATTCCTTCTCTCTTGGCTCAGAGGAAGCCTCTTCTGTAGCTGAGCAGTAGAAATGGTCATGCCTTTTCTGACACTGGAAATATGAGCCCTAGTCTTCAACCTTGTTGCATGGTATGGAATCATCTGGCTGTGGAGGACCTGCCAGGAAAGGGGATCATTATGCTGCCCCATAAGATGCCTCAGCCTATATATGGACTTTGGAATGAATTATTTAACCTTGGAAAATGAGAATCAAGCTGGGTATGGTGGGACATGCCTGTAATCCCAGCAGGTGGAAGGCTGAGACAGGAGGATTGCTGAGAATTTCAGACCATCATGGGCTGTACATCAATTCTATCTCACAAAATGAGAGGAGAGAGAGAAGAGGGAAAGAGATTGAGAAAGGGAAAGCTTCTTACCAGCTTGCTCTGTTTTATCCTAATGAAGCACCATGTACCTCATTTCCCAATATGCTTTGTCTGGCTTAGCTTTGGTGAAATCAAAGCTCCCTTAAGTTCTGGGTTAGGCAGACATTTTGTCTGTGGCCTTCAGGCCCACAAGAACGTATTCCACATACTAGAACACTCAAACCTCATGTCTTAAGCTGAAAACTAGATATGATTTGATGCCAAAGGTCAAGACCACTATACTAACTGTCAACAGCCTCATGATCTGTCAGAACTGTTGTTGTAAATTAGATGCTCCAGGAGAGTGTTCAGCCTAGCCCTCTGATAAGAACTGTCGATGCAGGCACAGCTTATATTCTTAGTCTGTCCCAGCTCAACCTGCCTGGTCTTTGTTACAGATAGGCTCCGTCAATCCATCATATGACAAGATCTTCAGTCACCTTCAACATGTAAAGTACAAAGGTGAGGGGTGCCTGGATGCTTATTCACTCTCTCTTAGACAGGATATAGACATGCCTGTGTGACCTTAAGAAAGACAACATAAGGGGCAGGTGCTATTGTGTTCACCACATTGAACATCGTTGTGACAAGCTCTTTGGGTGGCCCAGACAGCAGCAAATTCACCATGCCTGAGTGAATTTCTAGGCTCCATCACTATGCTTAGCTATGCCTCTCTATCAGGAGCAAGGCTGATACCCTCATCCCTAACATGTCTCTCCAGGCCAACAAGTGCTCATCCCAGGCTTCAATATTGAAGAACTTCTCCCTGAGAGCCCTGCTGAGTACTACCGCTATGAAGGGTCCCTGACCACGCCTCCTTGCTACCCTACAGTGCTCTGGACAGTTTTCCGTAACCCTGTGCAGATTTCCCAGGAGCAGGTAACATTAAGAGACAGTGTGATACACTGTTCCCTGCTGCAAAGTGTCATAATCAATGACTTGATTTCCTCAGAGTTTCATTGGCAGTCATTCAGAACCTTTCCAGATGTAGCCAGTGACTGAAACATTGTATAAATTATGTTGTATAAATTACATTGTATAAATTTAAGAGGAGTTACACATACATCAAGCTAGGAAAATAAATGCATGTCCCACAGTTACATAAAAAGAGAGCTACAAGTCTGCATTTGCTAACATACCCCTCAGTGGCTGGATGATAGTCACTTTCCAGGTAGGAGAGAGCCTGGTTCCTTTGGGGGACAGAATAAAGATCACATCAGGTTAACAAATGGATCTTGGATTGCAGCAGTGAGTGAGGGTCACAGCCCTAGGAAACTTACAGTATAGTAGTGCAAAATGGTGGTCCTTAGCGACCATCTCTAAGCCTTTCACTCATGTTGGAAGTAAAGGTTAGAATGTCTTAGGATGACCTGACTTCTGAATTGAGTCACTGCTCATCTCTCTATTCTACAACCTAAAAGCATGAAGAAGAAAACTGTAGAGGAGGCTGGATGGTGCTGCATGCTGGCTTACCCTAGCCTTCACTGTCACACTTCTGCTCTTTACTACCAACTTCTGAACTGAGAAACCTAGAGAAATGGCAGCTAGTGGGAGGACACGAGGGAGGATGTGCTGAATCAGAGGTGAAATGTGTGGGGAAGCAGCAACATTCTAACCCCAAAACTGCCTTGGAAACTGACTTATCATCTTTGTGAGGGTGTGAAATGTCAGAAAGAAAGCAGTCAGATGAGGAGCAGGGGATGGCTGTTACCTTGGGTTTTTTTTTTTTTTTTTTGGTCTTTTTGAAACAGGGTTTCCCTGTAACCCCAGCTGGCCTGGAGCTTACTATGTAGACCAGGCTGGCCTTGAACTCACAGAGATCTGCCTGCCTCTGCCTCTCAAGTGCTAGGACTACAGGTGTGTGCCACCATGCCTGGCTACCTTGGTCTTTTTATTCTGCCAAGCAGCACCTAGTCAGCAAGACGCTTGGGGTGGAGCAATGGTTTTCTGGCTTCCCCATTGATTTCAAATGCCTTCCACTAAGCTTTCTTGTTCCAGAAGCTTCTCCCATGTTCTCTCTCCAGTAGATCAGGCCAGGGAGCATCATCTGCTCATGGGACATATTTCTACTCTTCCCCTCAGCTGCTGGCTTTGGAGACAGCTTTGTACTGCACACACATGGACGATCCTTCCCCCAGAGAAATGGTCAACAACTTCCGGCAGGTCCAGAAGTTTGATGAGAGGCTGGTGTATATCTCTTTCCGACAAGGTGAGGGAGGGGGGCTTTGGGGAAGTGGAGAGTTAGTGTGGTGCCAAGGAAGACTTCCTATCAAGGAAGTCTCTGGCACCAATGACCTAAAAAGCTTGGCTCAGAGTCCCCTGATGGTGGAGGAACCAGGGTGCCTCCTGGAACTTTGGTGTGTGGCCTAGTGAAGTCTCCTTTTACTGCTCACCACTTTCCTGAGCCCTTGCAAAGAAGCCTAGGCTAGGACCTCAGGCATATGAATCAGAACCCTTTTTAAGTCTGGGAGTCACCCACAGATGGGGATGTCTTTTTGCTATCAGGAATGATCCCTTATCCTAAGATACATGATAGAATCCTTTGTATGAAGAGAGGTTTTTAACTTCTTACCCCCAGCTTTCTTGGCATCAAGGGCTACAGACACCCGACTCTAGGCCTAGTGAGATGATTCCCATACCACCAACATTCATCTATGCTCCTTTGTTAGATAGTAGGTATAACACACATCTGTGGCCACAGCAGCTCAAGGTCTAATGTAGCAGGGCCCATTGGGCAAGAAAGCACCTTTGTTCACAGTCTTTTTTGTCTAATCTTAGAGCTTGCAGAAGCACAGGCAAACACATTCCAAATTGAACAAAACTTAATAGTTTGGTTCATTCTGACTGCTAGGTGGACTCATTGTTCCTTTTAAGTCTATAACTGTGACTTCCCAGAAGAAAATTAACATTTTACTTTCTCAGTGCCTTTGTCAGTGTGCTGGAAGCTTGGGGCTTGGGAAGGGGATAAGGGAACGATGTCGGCACCCACGCTTACCATACTTCCCTGGGCCTTCCCCACTTTGGGAATCCTTGGTGGTTAGAATCAGAGCAGATCTGCAGAAGTGTCCCTTTTATACCCTTAAGTCAGTCATGGCCCCACAGGGCAGGGTGTTTCTATTTAAAAAGAATCCATCAGTCCATCTGTCAGAAGAGCCATGTCCCTCATCTGACCTGATGCACTTTTTGTCCCTTTCTTACTATGTGAGATTATAAGTGCCACCTGCTCAGTTTAGTTATGTTAGGCAAAGACTGTTTCAAAGCCCTTGCCAGAAAGCTTTAGAAAGCCTTATGAACAGACCCATCCACGTGGTTAGAGTTACATCCTTCTCTGCCAGTTACCCAATTCAGAACTGCCCAAGAATTTCTTTGGTGTTCTCTCCAGATACTACTAGCTAAGATCATTTCCTCTTCTCAGTTCTCAATCTGAAATGGAAACTGTGAAGAGTGACCCTTCTTATAACCAAGAATGTTTAAGATGGTGACTGCCCACTTCTTTTCTGGGGAATAGCCTGAATGCCTGGGATGTTTTCCTTTGCTGTATATTCTGGATGCAGCATTCTCTTTTCTCAGTCTTCTAAGTGGAATATATACTATTTAGGATTAACTGGAACTATTCAATTCTTTGTTTTTGAGATAGAGTCTCACTTTATTTATTTTCTAAAAATATTTTTAGTTATTTTTATTTTATGTGTAGGAGTGTTTTGCCTGCGTGTATGTAAGTGCATCAGGTGTGTGCAAATGCCTGCAGAAGCCAGAAATGAGTGTCGGATCCCCTGAAACTGGAGTTATAGATAGATGGTTGTTAGCCACCATGTAGGTGCTGGAAATTAAACCAGGTCCTCTGCAAGAACTGCAAGTGTTCTTAACTTCTGAGCTGTCTCTTCAGCCCCTTTAACTGTATTTCAGACTGGCCTGTAACTCATAATGTAGTCCAGGCTGGTCTCAAACTTAATGATTCTCCTGCCTCAGCTTCCTGAGGGCTGAGATTACAGGCATGAACGGGGACTACCATGCCAGGTGCAGAAGTATTCAATTTCCCTTTCTTTCTTTCTTTCTTTCTTTCTTTCTTTCTTTCTTTCTTTCTTCTTTCTTCTTTCTTCTTTTCTCTCTCTCTCTCTCTCTTTTTGAGATAGGGTCTCATTATGTAGCTTTGTAGCCCTGACTGACCTGGAACTCAGAGATCCACCTGCCTCTGCCTCCTGAGTGCTGAGATTAAAGGTGTGCACCATGATTCCTAACCAGTATGTCAATTCTTTTGGTCTTTTTGAGACAGGGTCTCCCTGTAGCCCCAGTTGGCCTGGAATTCACTATGTAGGCCAGGCTGGCCTTGAACTCACAGAGATCTGCCTGCCTCTGTCTCCCAAGTGCTGAGATTAAAGGCATGAGACACCATGCCCAACTGTACTTCAATTAATTGTTTTATATTTTATTTATTTTTATTTTATGTGTATGAGTGTATTGCCTTCATGTGTATAAGTGTACTCATGTCATGCAATGCCTGTGGAGGTCAGAAGGAGGTGTCAGATTCCCCTGGAACTGGACAGTTGTTAGCCACCATATAGGTGTTAGGAATTGAACCCAGGTCCTCTGTAAGAGCAGTCAGTGCTCTTAACTGCTGAGCCATCTTTCCAGCCCTTGTACTTCAATTCCTAAATGAAAAAAAAAAAAAAAACCACTCAACTCTCCTGGAATTAAGGGCCCTAGTTCAAATAGATTAGGCAAAATTTTGCTTATGGCTCTATAATCAGCTATTTTATGAGCTAGTGTATTTATATCCCTATAGTAAGGAGACCTCAGTTCAAGGCCTTCCTTTGTTTTTTTCCTGGATGTAGGATGTAAACAAAGCATATCCTTCTTTGGCATTAGTTTCCTTGGGTACAACATGCCAAGCTGGACATGTTATGATTCTAAATGGACACTAACAATTACCAATTCTAACTTTACATTGCAGGGTCAGTGTTTAAGGGCAGTTACAGAGGATCAGAAGAATCCGTGCAGGAATTTGATTATGACAACTAAAAGTAACCTCCACTTGTACTGATGGACTGTGGCATTGGTGATAATTAGCCATCTTCTTAGGCTGCCTCAGGTCTAAGTAGCTGCTTATAGACTGGATCATGCAGGCAGGTTTGCAGCTAAGCGTGCTTGGTAGATTCTTCAAGTCTGGCTGGAGCAGATTGAAAAGGCTCTAGACAGAAGCTTGCAGACCAACTCCCGGCTTAGGACATAAAGATCAAAGCCCAAATACAGCTTTGCCACTGACCCTCCTGCTTGGCTTAGTCAGAGATGCTGCTTCTGTGAGGCTGAGCTTAGCTTTTTTCTTGGAGAATCTGGTAGTTGAGGGCAAACCTGTTCACTTAGAGGCTGATTATAGAAACTTGGCCAGAATACTCCCCTCTGTATTTCCCAAAACATAAGTAACAAACAAGACTGCTTCCTGAGGTACAGCCCCAACCCCCCTCTGCCCAGGGATGCCTTCATTCACCAGAGCCTCTCACAACCAACTTGGAGCATGTCTGACTATAACATGCAGTTTCAAGCTGATAGTGTGAGCCTGTTTGTCACCATGAACCCTGAGCAATTTAAGCTCACTTCTTTGCAGATTTTCCAGTGAGGCATATTTGTAATTAGGGTTTATGCAGAGTTTCCTTTGGAAGTTAATGAGCTCTAGAGTCTGAAAATTCTTTCAGGAAAAAAAAGTAATGTAAAGAAAACTCTCTGGGAAAGAAAATGCAAGGATTGGTTGGGGGTGGGGATGATCTGAGATTTAACCAAATTGAGATTAATAGAGCTGAATTATTTAATTTGACCCCACTATTTTCCTAGAACGTGCTCATAAAAGGAATACAGAATCTGCTTTCTGTTCACAAGGGGTTTATCCTCTAGGTACAAAATACCCCTAGGGTGGGGTTTCTCAATCTTGGCACTACTGACATTTGGGGCAAGATAATTCTTGTTGTAGGGGCTACCCTGTCCACTGTAGCATTAGCAGTGTCCCTGGTCTTTATCTACTAGATGTCAGTGGCATGTCCCTACTGGTTAATAGTCAAAAGATATCTCTAGATATTGCCCAGTTCTCTAGGGGTTTCAAATGACCCCATTGAGAATGACTTCCCAGGGGTTGGTTAATGACTCTACTAGGCTCAGGATTGATATTTTTCCTTATTCATATTGTAAGATTTTAAACTTGAGTATTACATGGCCTAATCTTTGCTATACTATGGCATGAAAGCGAGTCTTATGATGGTTAACCCTGAAGCAGTGGTATTGAAGCTACTGAGGTAGAATAAACAAACCCAAGGGAAGCTTTGTCCCTATCCCTTCAGAATCTGAGCATATATCCTTCTTCTATAATTGGGTAAGGCCTGAGAGAGAGAGCCGGCCTTCCTTTGGGGGAAGTCTACAGACCCCTTTATCAGAGCATCTTTCTTCAGGATCTTCATTGTTCCTTTTCTCCCTCCCTTTTGTGCATGGTTTTGTCTTTTATAGGTCATTTTGTTGTTGTTATTGTCACCTTTGCCTAAGGTCCCTACTCTTGATAGAAAGATGCAAATCTTGCCGTGGGTTTTTGTTAGCTCTTGAAAAGCGCATCTTCCAAGGAAGACTTGAGCTTGCCTTCAACGTTGCTAGAGAGAAGACTCATCTGGAGTGAGTTCAAGTTTCCTGAGAGTCAGATACCCGAAGTGAGGACACTGGAAAGACAGCACAGGCAGATGCCCACCCCAGAGGCCCAGGTTTGGAGCTTTGGCCCAATTCTTGGATCCTTCAGGTTGACTTCTTCCCAGTCAATGACACCAACTTCAAGTCCAAATGGTGATGGGTAATAAGGCCCGTCAACCCTAAATGCTAATGTCATCTAGCTCATTCTCTGTATGTCAGGGATAGGGAAACTAGGGGGACACAAGGAGGCCAAAAAGTTTCTATAATCATGTCTTTAATGGGCCTGCTCTAAGGAACCGCATGTCACTCACCAGGGATCTAGAACCAGCTGCAGTGCATTTAGATGAGTGAGCCTGCTAGACTATCTAGTGTGCTGGACGTCAGTGGGGAGGGGTCTAACCAATGGCCATCTGCAGAGTATTAGAACTTGCTTGTCCCTGAGAAATCTGTGTAGTTTTAGAAAAACTTTCAAAAGAGAGAAATTTTAGTCAACTAAGATGGCTAATTCATTTTTTTTTGAGACTAGAACATATGTGCTATGGTTATTGACCTTCTGTTTCTTTAAGCTTTATTTATAAATAAAAGGTATTAGATGGAAGAGTATCATCCATTCTTCCTGTGTATCCAAATGAGAAATGAGAGGAGTTCCGGCTTCACATTCCGACCTAGACCTGGATCAGGGGGCTGAACTGTCGGCAGCAATTATCGAATGTGCTTCTTAAGTCCCAGGCCCTTCAATATACCACGTTTCCTGAGCACAGTCCCACTTGTGCACTATGGGACCAGAAGAAAACCCCACTGTGCATGCCACCTTGTTCCTAATGACAAGCCCCTGACACAAAGCAGACCGAGTTTAGGAACAACGGCAAGAGAAGGGGCCAGGCAGAAGACCGGAGCCACTCCTGGTGAGGACCCCAGCTGAGCTCCCATGTCAGCTCTGTGGCACCCATGCTTGCCCTCTGTCTCAGCACCCCAAACTGCAGGCCTCCTATAACAGGGCAGACACACATACTATTTCTTTTGTCTAGAATGGCTCTTTCATACCTACCTCTGCCTCCACCTAGAAAGTTCTTTCAAGACCAGCTTTGGTCACACCCTCTCAGGAACTCTCCCCACTGCCCTGGAGGTGACTTACAACCTCTTTCAGAGCAACCAGACCAAATTGTTTATCTCTGTTGTAGTATGTGGCATGTAACAGAGTAATTATTACTATATAGTAAAACACTCATGAGGATTATATTATACATACTTTATGAGCTCCTGCAGGAAAGGATGTTTGATGTCTCATGTCTCACTCATTCTTTATGCCTGGCACCATGCCTGGTATTCATTGTAAGCTTGCTGAAAGAATGTATTCGATCATCTACCTCCCTTCCCCTTCCCTCACCAGTAGTTTCTCTGGAGAATGATTTAAACATAAGTCTGGTCAATTACCAAATTTTTGTTGCATTGTCTTATTTGGCTCTGTTCTCAATTTGCCAACAATGTTAATAAAACCATATGTTTAAGAGAAATTCAAGACCAGAACTTACCATCGAGTTTTAAAGATCTGCAAGTTGCCTACTGATGTTACACTTTCTGTTGCCCTGACTTGAGAGAAACACAAGATCCCCATTCTACCACCCATCCCTTCAGCACTGACAGCCTGGGCTCTCAGTACCAAGAGCTGTCATGGTACCTGCCTCAGAGCAACATGGCCTGCGTTCTTGCAATTTGGGAGGCAAAGCCCTCAATGGCCTGCGTTCTTGCAATTTGGGAGGCAAAGCCCTCAGTTCCCATTACTTGCCTAGCAATTGTACAGATGTCTTTTTGGAAGATTTCTTTGTAGAAATTGTTTCCTGACTGGGTTGCATAGCGTTAATAAAAAATAGTCCCCAGTTAAATATGTCCTCCAAAAGTAGTAATTCAGGGTGGCCACTAGAGGCGTTTTCCTTGCTTTTCTGACCAAAGTATAACCCAAACACTACAACTGCACTTATTTGACTCTGTGGCTTATAACTGCTCATCATAAGAGGAATATTTTTACCATCCTAGACCGATGTCATATACTTAAGTGATTGAATCCCTAGTAAACCCAAACTTCACTGTTTTCTTTCATAAGACTGGAGCCCACTGTGTGTATGTATGTATATATATATATATATATATATATATATAATCACTATGTAAATGCTGTCTGCAAAAACAGTAGATGTTTTATAGTAATAATTTTAAAGAAGAAAAGGATTGCATTCCACAAACAGAATTGAAAATAGAGCTAGAAAATACTAGACTATTGTTCCAGGTACCCCAAGATGTGTAAATGAGCACGTCTTTCTCGGGCTGGACCTGATTGTGTTGCACTTGAGGCTTCAGAAGACCTCAAACACAGTTAACCAGCATCCTCGGTTCAGCCAGATGCCAGTGGAAGATGCAGCTCCTGAGCCAGCCTGACCAGGTAGCCAGGCCCTCGTGGCAAGTAGTTTCCAGCCTTCTCCAGGTGTCTGTACCTTTCTGGACAATGCAACTGTCTATATCTGTGCAATTTCCTTTTGCATATCATACTACCCTATCTCTGCTTATCTTGGCTGGTACTTGAATGCTCTGTGGATAGTAGGCAGCTCTCTCCCATCTGCCCAGCATGAGTCCTCCTGCCAGCCATCTCAGAAATCTCTTCTGTTAGGTTCTCATTTGCTAGCTGTTATGGGCCACCTCTGTGAACCAGCCTGCCTCCATTTTCCTCATCTTGTCTCATTGTTCTTATATAGGAGCTACTTGTCATTGTACCCGTTTGTAAACAACCCATTTCATTTATGCTGAATATAACTTTCTCTGATTCTGCCCTTCCCTGAACCATCTTTGACACCTGTTCCCTATAGTGGCCCAGAGACTGGCCTCACCTGAGTAAGAATGTGCTGTGCAGTAGACTTTGTCTTCCCTCTCTGACTCTAGTTCTCAAGTCCCCTAGTGCTTCTCTCCTTGCTCTGAAGGTCTCACTTACCTCCCCAGCACTTTAGTTAGCAGATGCTTTGACTGTCTCCAGTGAGCCTCAAGCTCATTGGCAGAGAGGTCTTTCTCTGTAGACTTTGGTTGGTACTGTCCCAATTAGTAAGATGGCGTTCTAACCACATCTTCTACCTTGGGTGTCATGAGAGAGAACTATTAAGGAGACACCCTTACCAGCATCTCTCTTCCTTAGTGCCGTATGCTCTTTGTTTGCTTGGTCAAGCTGATTTATTTTTGCTACATCAAAGTCTTAACTGAAAATCCAGTGGTCCCAATCTGGCACAAACATCATTATCTGGACTCATTTAACTGTTTCCAAAGGAAGGCAATTTAGTCTCCAAGAAATGAGTTTGAACCACTCCAAAAGCTTGGGTTGGAGCACTGGATTCAATTATGCTGTTGTCTATAGGCCCTGCTCTAGTCAATATACTATACAGTGAACAGGGAGAGCCTGACTCTCCAGAGAAGCCAACACGCTGGGACATTCTGTAGGAAAGTTCTAGGGCCTAGCTCTCCAATGGGCTTTGCTTAGCAACCTAAGACCGCTCCACAAAGGCACCTCCTCCAGTCACATGGTAGGACTGCTGTTTGAGGGGCCTGTATGACTCTCAGATATTTTCAGTGACTGAGAAACAGATGGTCCAGCTTGTACATACCACCCAAATAGCTTGTTGGTCACAGTCTTTTGTGGCTGGATTGGTACTACAAGCTTGTAGCGATTGAGGAACAAAAGTATATTTTATCACAGGGCTAGAGAAGAAATATAGCCAGGGCTTATTTGTTTATTTAAGATCCCAAGGAACAGGGTCTCTGGGTACCTTGAAACAAAAAAACCCCAGCAAACTCAAGTACAAAGTTGCACTGTGTGGAGACCCCAGGCTAGGTGTAGCACAAAGCATGTGCTATACAAATATGAAACTCTCTCTGGGTGGATATGCCTGTTTGCAGCACATCCCCAAGACACATACTGCTCCTCTTGTTACCGGAAGAGGCCTGGGGCAGGGAATCTGGCCAGAAGAGCCACTCCTGGTGGTAGCCAGCAAGGAAAGGAATAACCACTCTGTCCTACAAGACACTCTCCCTATGCCTGCTCTGCTCACCCTCATAGCAGCCCAGGGCCACTCAGGACCAGCTGCCTCAGGGAGGCTTGGCAGGTGCAATGTGAGATTGTGGGATGGTAGGGAAGTGGTACAGAGCTTATAGCTCCTGGGGAATTAGCCAGACTATGGTCTAGGATAGAAGAAGGCAAGTGAGTGAGAATTTTCTCTGTAGCCTTAGCTCTGGTGTCCCAGTATGTTGAATGCCCTCCGCTGGCATTTCATACTTTGTCAGAGCTCTCTCGGGGTCTCAGAGGCCATGGGAGGGTTTAACAGGTGCAGGATATTCTCTGTGTGTCAGACTGGGTTATCACTACCTATCTGATTCAGGCTTCCAGTGTGAGTTACAGAACAAACACCATAGACAAACAGACACACACAAACACACACATACACACATGCACACACCACACACACACACACACACACACACACACACACACACACATTCAGAAAACCACCAGAGAAGAGGATATATATATATAAACAGGGGCTTCTTTTAGATGGAGAATGTGACTGGGAAGAAGAGAAAGAATAGTGAGTGAAAACCCAGAGAAAGCAGGCTGGGGTGGCTAAAAGGAAATGTCATGACTGGGACCCTCTGCTCAGTCAAGAAGATGCTTTCACAATGACCATGACCCTGGAGGTTCCTAGTAGGTCATGGAATTTCACCTTTGATGCAGGGTACTAGATTAGTGGATTAGAAGACTCTAAATTCACTCCACTTGTGCCTAATCATGACTCCCTAGGAAAGCTCATAATATCCCAGTCCTATGTAGCGGAGAAGAAAGGTTGGTATAGTAGAGCAGTCTGTCTAGTAGGGCCAAGCAAAAAAGGAAAACAAAGAACCAAACCCTGAGACAGAATAGGTAAGGATGAGGAAAAGACTGGTGGCCAGTTCCTTACTGAAGTCAGGTACCACAGGAGTACACAACAGCTCAGCAAGGTAGGCTGATTCCTATCCATCTTTACCTTGTCTCTTTGGTCACTAAGATTAAAAGGTGAAGTCTTGCCCTAGTAAAGAGAGTGCTGTGAGAAAAGATCTGGGGAAAGATTTGGGGGGAGGGTCACAGTATGGATCCCTAGGTGGGCCCACTTCATCAGACAGTTACCTGAGCCAGGGTGACCACCTCCAAAAGATCCACATAAGTCCTGGACTGCCAACCAAACACAAAAGGTAAAGCTTTTTGCAACACACTGGTCAGATCCAGCATGGTGTGGCTCTAGATTAATTTCCAATCTTTTCTCCTCCCTTTTAAGTAGGAATCCTTACCGACACAGGACTGAGTTTGGGTATGTGGCCTCCTAAGTGTGCATGTTTCAGTTGGGTTGATCTTGTGATTCTCAGTGTGACTTGATCCTATAATGATTTCAGCCCATCTTCTCGGCTTCTCTGTGCTGTCGCTTTGGCTTCTGGTAACCCGTTACTATGAGTCTTACCTTCAAGCTGCTCTCTAATTCAAAGATGAACTACCAATCACATGTTCCTCTAATGTAAAACTGAATCATTCTATGGTGTGTATGTGAAGAGCCCATTTAAGACATTCTGTTGGTTAATGTTGGGGGCATTGCCTAAAAACAAACCTAAACCCAGCATTGACCTCAGGTGGTTGGCTATATGATCTTGACCCTGGGGTTGGTTGTTTGGGACAGTAATGGAAATTGGGGGGGAAATTGATAAAGTTATCCTAATGGGCCTTAAATCCAGCAAGCAAAGAGAGACTAAGATCTTATTCTATAGCTCAGGGTTTCTCAAAGTGTGGTTCAGACCACATGCATCAGCATCAATTGGAGGCGTTTGGAAATTGGATGCAAATTTATGGATCACATATCACATGGATTGATCCTGAGTCTCTCAGGGTTGAGTTTAAGAAGTCTGCATTTTATTTATTTATTTATTTATTTATTTGTTTGTTTGTTTGTTTGTTTGTTTGTTTTTTTATTTAGGTCTTTTTGAGACAGGGTCTCCCTGTAGCCCCAGCTGGCCTGGAACTCACTATGTAGACCAGGCTGGCCTTGAACTCACAGAGATCCACCTGCCTCTGCCTCCCAAGTGCTGGGATTAAAGGCATGGGCCACCACGCCCAGCAAAGCCTTCATTTTTAACAAGCTCTTCAGATGATTCTTGTGCAAATTTGAGAACCCCTGTTGGAAAGCCACTACAGTTTGCAAATGGTCCCCTCTAAGTACTCCAGCCAATCCCACAAAGCCAGAGACCAGAATCTGAGAACAGAGGTGGGGAAATCGTTCTGAGCATGACAGAATTCTGAGAAGTAATTTCTGAGAATGACTATGTAGCTAGAACATGATGCCCACATGCTTTGGGATGAGATGAAGTGAAAAGGAAGGGATGTAACGTGTCCCCTGCCTCTTCACCAGGCGTCATCCTTTCAGTGGCCCTGGCTGGTGTTCTTGGCATCTCCATTGTCCTTGCCGTGTCTATCTGGCTCTTCCAAAGGAAGAAAAGGTGAGTTGGATTCAGAATTCCTATTCTAAATGGGTGGCTTATGTGTCCATGATAACTGGTCTATCTGGGGAGGTAGACTTGCAGAAGGAAGGGCCCCTGTTGTGTGGCCCAACACTATCCTAGGAATGCTGCTCCCCAAACACCAGTGACTGCCCTGCACGAGACATTGGTTATTCAGGGGTTTAACCATATTCATACTTGGAGGCCTTACTACATAACTAGTTAGCTATGTGACCTTGTACAAGTTTCCTGATTAGTGTTTGTCTTCTTACTAAGGTCTTTATTATCTGGTTTTCTTCTATGAATCTAAAAAGAAAAATGAAGAAAAACCCTATCCCTCACAGTAGCTATGAATGCACTTTCCCCACAGTTTTGTTGCCATTATTGGCTTTTCTTGAGACATAATTTATTTTTATTGGCATGGAAAAGAAATAAGTTTCCAGGAATTATGGAATCAAAAGTTTGAAATAGGGCTAATAACGACACCTTCTTCAGGCTTTTGAAACAGTTGAAAACCAACAAGTTCCATTTTAATTAATGTTTTATGTGACAACATTCCCTCCCAGACCAACAGACCTGGGAAAGGTCCCCAAGAGAGGAGTCAGTCTTCTAAAACTCACCCACCCCATATCTGAGTCAGGCTGCTCTCTGGCTCCCTTGCTCTCCTCTTTGACTAACAAGCCTTGTGTTCTTACTGTTCCTGTAGCAAAACAGGTGACAACAAGGGAGTCATTTATAAACCAGCCATCAAGAAGGAGACTGAGGCCCACGCCTGAGGTCCCTGGCACTCCCAGACATCCAAGGAAGGATCTTGCTTTGGACACTACATACTTGGGCTCTCTGGACACTTTAAATACCTCAAGGTGGTCACTGGGGCTCAACTGTAACCTCTCTTCCCCCAAGACTCTTGTAATGCCTCCAGCTGGACCTCTCCCTGTCCTGTTGCCATAGCCATCCCAGGATGACCAATGGGTGGGATGAGCTCCTGGACCAGAAGGCAGGAGCTCTGAGTGGATTGCTCTACCTATGTGAGGTGGCTAAACATCATGGATTCGGAGTCACAAACATTACCTGCTGGTGGGCTGTTGGGGTTTGGGAAACATTTCCATCCAGGGCTCCTCTTGTAACAATTTTCATGGTCCTGGAAATTCTAGCTATTCTCTAATCTTTCAGTCTAGAATGTATATCCTTTGTTCGGATGAGACTTTCAAAACTCAGCTTCTTTCCACCAGGAGGAACTGTCTTCCTTGAATTTCCCTTCCGTCTGATCTCACAGATAAGGGGATGAGTTGAGACAGGAAAAGATCAGATTATCAGAAAGAAAATGAAATCTTTGTAATATATTGAGGCATTTTCATAGTCCTGTCTTTTGGGTTAAAAACACTGACCAGACCTTACAGCGAGGCAAGTCCAAGTTCCATTTCTTAGGAAGGATGAAAGGGAGACGGAGGAGACAGAAGGATGAGAGGGAAATGGAGTGAATGGGAAGGCATGCGTTATCTGGGGTAGTCTCCCTTTGGAGTCAGAACTGGAATCAAAACACAATGTAAGAAAGACCAAGTATTAAGTCACCCCCTACCCAGCATCAGTAGGGAAATTGTATTTGACACTCTACTCCTTGAGAATGAGTTGCTTCCTCTCCCCTCCAGTAGATGTGAGTTCTAGAATGATCTACTCTGTTTTGAACTCACGGGAAACAGGTAGAAGCAGATCATTGTTCGACTTTGTCTCTTTTGCTCAAATGTCAGTTCTGCCTTGTCTGATATGCCTACTGCCAACTTGGAGTCAGGGCTTGTCTACTCCTCTAACTTTGAGGAAGCCTAATTGTGGTTTAGTTAAAATGTCTTTTCACACTATGAAAGGAAGCTATCTGTGTAGGGAATAGCAAGGTCCTGGCATTTAAGGGCCAATAACAATGGAGTGTTCTTAAGACTCCCTATTCGTTACCCCAGTCACCAGTTTCTGAGAAGACTTGATCCCGTCCACATATTCTTCTGGTAGAGGTGAGAATCCTGTGGATAGCATTCAGTTCCAGGCCTAAGTAGAAGCCTCAACCAGCAGCCCCTAATTGCTAGTTCCTTGCAGTTCACAGGGAGTTTTCTGATTCACAGTCTCATTTTGACAGCATGGAATGTCTTCTTGAAGCACAAGTTTCTTTATAATATGTTTCCTTCTATTCCTCTTGACTTGATAAAACTTTCTTTTTCTACTGCTACAAATTTTCAGGATGGTAAGTCTTTGTAGTGTAATTCACTGGGCAAAGTTACAGGTGACCTGATAGGGGCTCAGATGTGTGGTGTGTGCAGATGAGATCTCTTACAGCCTTGGAGCCTGGGTGCCACCACAGCCTTGTAACTGACATGTCTGATGGCATCATAGTGAGGACAACCCTCAAAACATGATTTAGGTGGTTTCTTGGCCTTCGTCCAAACTCGCCAATCAAAAACCAACAATAAACTTCTCCCAAGCAGTGAGGTTCTTTCAGAAAACCATCCACAGATGTGTTCTGGGAGAGAACAAGGAGCTCATCGTACCTGGCACAAGAGCTGGTTGTAAAAGGAGACGTGCTGGGAGGCAAAAATAGTGGCATTTCTCCTTCCCACTTCTCCTTCAGCATGGCCCAGGCATTCAGTCCTCGTTCAGTCCTCATGGCTGAGATGAAACAAAGTCAGAGAGGCAGAAAGAATGCTCCAAGAATCAGCACCGTCAACCTCTAATTCTGGAAGATCCAACTTTCTTCAGACTCTCAATCATTCTGTGAATACCCAGTTGCCACTGCAGGAAACCAGTGCTGTGGTGAGGCATAGATGCCTTGAACCCTTTAACTCTTGTGCAAGGTGTGAGGTGGGTGCCTAGGAGAGAGCCCAGGCGGGTGCAGGGCTGGGCCCCTGACAGGTGGAGAGGACCAATAGAAGACATGGGTGGGTGGGGGCTCCTACTGGTAGCACAGGGAAGGCCCTGATTTCTGCAGCCTTTCCTCTGCCTCTAACTGGGAACCCCAAGTTTCTGTTCTTTAGTATTGTCTAGTATCAACAGTAGAACCCATACCTGAAGCTTTAATAGACCTTGTAGAATTTGCTGCACTGACTCTCCCAATCATGTTTCAATTCCTCTCCCTCTCAACACTCTCTGAAGGCCTCCTGATTGGCCCTGAGGAAGCACTGGGGGTGACAGCATCCTTAGGTCCCTGCGCTTCAGACTGTAGGCCACTATCATGATGGTTTGTTTAGCACTTCCATATTTATTATTGTACCAATGATTGTAATGAAGACATACACTGAAAATATGAGAAATAATAATAAAATGTTTTTCATATCAGACTTGAGTTTTTTGGAGAAAAGGTTGAAACATCACTATTTGCAAAGCATTTTACAGCAGCCGACAATGATGACAGGTGACTAAGAGAGCAAATAGTCTTGTCATTTACATCCAGGTCTTAGATTCTGGCTCCAAAGGAAAAATACACAGATGGACTTAATCACTTCAGATGGAGGAGGACAGAGACCTATGGTGTGCACAGCTCTGGGTCATGTAGCTGCTTGGTTAGCGAGGCTGGGAAATCCCGAACAATTAGGGGAAGGCTGAGGGGAGAGTGAGGTATAAGCTGGGCCTTGAAGAAAAAGTCACAAAATACTCGTATTCCTAGGGAAGCTGAGGCAGGAGAATCAAGAGTTCAAGACCAGGAGCTAGGGGCTGGAGAGATGGCTCAGCGGTTAAGAACACTGGGTGTTCTTACAGAAGACCCAGGTTCAAATCCCAGCGCCCACATGGCAGCTAACAACTGTCCGTAACTCCAGTCCCAGGGGATCCACCAGGCTCTTCTGACCTCCATGGGCATTGCACGACACGGGTGCCCTTACCTACATGCAGGTAATACACACATAAACATAAAATAAAAATAATAAATGAAAATTTTTTAAAGTTAAAAAAAAGAAAGACCAGGAGCTAGAGAAATAAGAGTGCTCCCTGTTCTTCTAGAGGATCAGAGTTTGGTTCTCAGTATCCATATCAGGCAGCTCACAATTGCCTGTAACTCCAGCTCTAAGGAATTCAGTACCCTCTTCTGGCCTCTACGGGCACCATACTCATGTATACATACACACACACACACACACACACACACACACACTGTTTGAACAGATAGATTTAGGTATCCCAAATCAAAGGGCTATGAATAAGGGAACAGGGCCTGTCTCTTATTCCTGAGAATGTTGTTTCCAGTAGGTAGATTGCCTCTCTTGACCTTCTGTTAACCTTATTTCGCATCCTTTTTACAAAACATGCTATCACCTCCAAAAGGTTTTTTTGTCTGAAAGCAGATTTCACATCCTGCTTTGCTAAAAGAAGCAATGGTATGCAGGTTACAATAGGTCCATCATTGTGTGAGTGATTTGGAGAAGCCTCCAATTTTTACTCTAACTCTGAGCTGTCTGTGATATCATGCTCTGGGAGGTCACACAGCAGCTGGCCAAGCTTTGGGGTAAAAACATTACCAACCCTTGAGGTCCTCATGGTCCCGTTGGCTGGAACTCAAGCATTCTTCAGTTTTCCCCTTTGTCATGAGTCATAGGCACTTGCAGGGATGCAGATAGGTTGAAGACACAGAGTTCCCTTGAAATCTCATGCCTTGGACTTGTTCTTATCTCACTGGGCAGGAGTCTGCAAAGATACTTCCTAGAGTGGGCAATGAGTATCTCCCCCCACCCCCGCCTCTGGTCTTTTTCCCCATTCCCTGAACTCAAGATTCACTTAGGCTATGCCAGAAAAGCATGTGGGTGGGAGCCAAAGGGGGGGCAGAAGGAACTCAAGCCCTCCCTCAACTTGGCCATTCCCTCATCTAAATGTAGCTAAAGCAATCTAAATTAGGCTTTCAAGAACAAATCATAGGACACCTGTGTTCTCAGCATTTTGAGGCTGAGGCAGGAGGATCAAGAGTTCAAGACCACCCTTGGCTACATAGTGAGACCCTGTCTCAAAAAAAGGGTTTGGACAGATGTATGGAAAAGAGGAGGTATCCTAAATCAAAGGGCTATGAATATACCACCCAGTAGAGATAAATATAATGCTAGACATATGACATTTTAATGGTTCTAGTAGCCACAGTAAAGAAGCCAGTGACACTAATTTTAATAGTGGATCTTATATAACCCAACAGATCTAATACTGTAATTTTAATGTGTAATCAACACTTTCATGAGATGTTTTAATTTTCCCATAGTGTATCTTGAAAATCTGTTGTATATTTTACACTTGCAACACATTTTGTTTCAGATTCTGTATTTTTGTTGTAAATATTTGATCTGTGTTTAGACTTTACAAAATTTACAGTTGAGAAAACAAAATTGCTCCAAACACGCTTAAAAGTTTTCCAAATTACTGAATCAGTTAGCAGCTTTTAAATTTAAATGTATTAACATAGAACAGAGCTTCTCAGTCTCACTAGTTGCATTTCACATGCTCAACAGCCACCTGTGGCCAGTCATACCTTAACTGAATGCACAGTCATTGACTGCACAGGGAGAGTTAAGTCTAGCAGACTTCATACAAACAAAACACTGGAAGACCACCTTGGGGTTTGAGGGATGAGGATGGGAGACAAGGATGGAGGATATCAGAGAGGGAGGGAGACAAGGAGAAAGAGGAAAAAAAAATCAAGCCAAGATGAGCAGACCTTGGACTTGGTCCACCTCCTCTCTTATCTCTTCCCTTGAAGGATCAGCAGCTTCTTAGCCTTCCTGACCCTGGACACTGCCTGGGGGTCCAGGTACTCAGAGGTGACTTGGACCTTGAGTATCTCAGTGCTTTTGCCAAACTCTGACAGTAGCTACATGGATGGCTGGTTATCCCCAGCAGAACCTTGACCAGGAGCCAACTGTGTCTCTCTCGTCTCACTGCCCCCCTCCCCCCAACCTCTGATTGCCTTAAAGTCTTTTGCCTACAAGACAGCTGTTTCTAGGCAGCTGTTTCTAGGTTTCTGGTACCTGCCAGGCTGAAGAGTTCTTGCAGAGTCACACACATCTCAACTCTGTTGTTTGCACTATTCGCTCTAGATTCCTCCTTGTGTTAGCAAAGACGGTATCACAAATCCTAAGGCCCATTCCCAGGAGGAAAGAAGGCCTCTGGGACATCTGCAAGGACCAAGGGCATCCATCACCCTCATCAGCACCAGCCGGGCAGGGCTGGGCTTGGCCACCCTGAGTTTCCATTCACTCTGAAGGTCACCCAGCTAGGGGTTCACAATAGGTCCTCTGACTCAGATTCAACTGTGTTGTAGGGTTTCAGGGAAAAGATGTGAGGCTGAATGTCATGCAGAGAGAATCCCTGTTCCACCTATGCCTTTTCATTATACAATGACTTGGCAGAGATATGGGCCAAAGCATTTTGCTGTACTGAACAATTCACCATAAAATATAGTTGCCACTATGTGAACATGTCATTATGACTATAGGTCGACCGGTAATTTGGTAGTGCCTTGTGCAGCTTTGACTGTTTCAATGTACCTTTGCTTCATGATGTAATCACCCAGGGAAAAGTGATTGCTTCCTTCTCCCGTGTGAGAAACAAGAATCTGGCTAGCTAAAACAAGGTCACACATCTGCAATACCAGGCTCTTCAGCAACAGTGCTACCCCCGTCCCCTGCCACATCCCAGCCACATGGAAGCACCTTCTTTTAAAAATTTGTGTATGTATGTGTTGTTGTGTGTGTACACATGAACTCAAGCATGTGTCATGGCATGTATATGGAGGTCAGAGGATAACCTGCAGGAGTAGTTGGTTTTCTCCTTCTATCATGGTGGTCTGGGGGATTGGACTCGGGTCACCAGACTTGACATCAGGTGCCTTTTATTATAGAACCATCTCACTGGCCTGGAAGCACCTTCTTGCAATGGAACTCACCATTCTTAGCCCAATCATGCCCTAATCCCACAGGCTAGAGGCACTCAATGACTTCCAGAAAGTCAACAACAACATCCTGCCTCCAACCTGCTTGGTAACATTAAACTCTGGCTTATCTAGACAGACAAAATCTGACCCGGAATCATCAACTATAACTGAGTAGAGGGATTGGCTCAGCTCCTGATGTTACCCTTACCTCTCAAGTCAATGAAACCAGACTCCCAAGGACACATTTATTGGGCATTCTCTTTTCCCAAGGCTGAACTAGAGAGAAAAATAAGTATATACACACCTATAGTGTGAGTGTGTGTATGTCAGTTAATGCATAGATATCACTTCATATGGAACAATTGTGAAGAATGTAAACTGCAGTGACAGAAAGCAGATCAATGGTTGCCTGGGGAGGTGGAGTAGGGGGTGAAGGGATTACAGAAGATATGAGAAATGGTTGAGGTGATGGGTATGTTCATTATCTTGGTTTTTCCACATATGTCAAAGCTGTTCAAATTTCACATTTTAAATATAAGCCTTATTATGTCAATTATCATACATACCTCAGTAAATGTGGGGGGAAAGGAAGGGAAAAAAACGACATACAGCCAAACCACACCTAAGTCCCATCCTGACTTGTCTCCTCCCGGCCACCAAGAAGGAGACGTATGGCCATCACCTTCCCTTGGACTCACCCTATGGGAAGGAGCTGATCTCCATTCACATGGCAGCTACAACCTCTCAATACTATAAGTCAAGCTCACCCTTCCCACTTGAGTTCACTCTCTTCAAACATTCTTTTTTAAATTTATTATTTTTATTTTATGTGTATGAGTGTTATGCCTGCATGCAGGTAAGTACACTTGGGTCGTGCAATGCCCACGGAGAACAGAAGAGGCTGTCAAATCCCCTGGAACTGGAATTAGACAGTTGTTAGCTACCATGTTGGTGCTGGGATTCGAACCCAGGTCTTCTGCAAGAATACTCAGTGTTCTTAATTGCTGAGCCATCTCTCCAGCCCAACAAACATTAGCTTTTAATTGCCTGCAATGCACACAACATAGGGCCCCTGGGTTCAAGGGCAGACTGAGACCTCTAAAGCACCTCCATGTGGGTGATACAGTGAACCAGCCTTCTCTCAGCTACGCAAAGACTTTCCTAGTGAAGTATGTAATACTAATATTCAGCTAGTTTTGCTGATAATACTAGATCCCAGGCATCTTAGTGTCTCTCCTTTCTGGCCACTCACATAAAATCATTTGAAAAGATTTACTGAATATGGTATATCCTTTCCATTGAAGACCATGTAGCCATTAACAAGCATAGCTCAGAAGCTTATTAATTTAAGCACTGGTGAAATCTCCCACCTATCAGTCAAAGTAATTTCCAACTGACTCTTCTTTAAGCCTAATTTAAAAGTGAAGCTTTAATGAGCAACTACTATCTGCTAAGTACAGATTAAGTGGTGGGAATTCCAACATGATTTACTCAGGGTCCCTGTATTCAAGGAGCTCACAGTCTCATTTAGGGAAACAAAAAGAAGTCACTAACCACAGTACATATATAACATGGGCAAACTGCTACATGTCCATCAACAAAAAAAGCAGCTGAACAAATTAGGATATACACACAAAACTGAATTCTATTCAACAGTAAAAAGTTGCAAATTACTAATATACACTCAAATAAGTGAACCTCAGACTATATTGAGTGAAAAAAGCTAGACACAGAAGTATATTTCATATTATCATGTTATTCTATTTAAAGTGCAAAAACTTAAAATTTTTTTTGAAATATATGCATGTTAGGGGCATGCATGTCATAGTGTGCAAGTGGAGGTCAGAGGACAACTTTTACATGGCTTCTGGGGCCCAAACTCAGGTTACCAGGCTTGTGGCAAGTACCTTTACTGACTGAGCCATTTTGCTGGCCCAAAAGAAGTGAAATGTATTTCTAATGATAGAGGTGGGAGTCACTGGTGGGCTCAGTAGTAGGCAGTATGGAGTGGCTTGGAAGGAGCAAGAGGGAGCTGCAGGGGAAAGGAAATGTTTCTGCCTGGAAAGAAGAGTAGTAGCAAAGGAGTACTCCGGTCAATGTGTACAACCGTTCAGTCACACGTCATTTTATTTTATGTAAATTATGCCTTGATTCAAAAAAAAAAGTGGGGCTAGAGAGATGGCTCAACAGTTAAGAGTGCATACTGCTCTTGCAGAGGACCTGACTTTGATTTCTAGCCCCCAAGTAGGGAGGCTCACAACTACCTATAACTCTAGTTCCAGGGGATCCCACACCTCTGGCCTCCGTGGGCACCTGTACACGTGTATATACCCATAAAAACACATTACAAAATTTTATAAAAATGTCTTTAAAAAATGTCTTAAAAAACATGTAAAGGATCAGGTGGAGAAAGCCATGTGCTTTCCTAATAGGAAAGACTTCACACAGGACATGAAATTTGAGTAGGACCTTGAAATAGATGCTTCTGAGGTGGAGCTAAAAAGAATAAAGATGTGGAGGTATGAGAGCCCATGTCATAAGTCAGTATAGGCAGCCTCAAGGATGTCCAAGGGGTGGAGGGTAGGCCTTTGATCCATTTTGAACTGATATTTATAGTGTGAGACATACTACTTTCATTCTTCTAATGTGGCTGTTTCATTTTCTCAGCTTCATTTTGAAGAGGCTGTCTTTTTCTCCAGTATATGTTTTTAACACTTTTGTCAAAAATTAGCTGGCTGTGGCTGTGTGGGCTTATTTCTGGATATTCTGTTCTTTCCCATTAGTCTACACGTCTGTTTTTGTGCCAGTACTGTGCCGTTTTCGTTATGATGAATGTGTAATGAATGGAAATCAGGCATCATGATACTCCCAGCATTTTTCTTTCTGCCTAAGATTGCTCTGGCTATTTTGGGATATGTTTCCATGTGAATGTTAGGGTTGCCTTTTCTAATTTGGTGAAGCATGCCATTGGAATTTTAATAAGGATTACATTGATCCTTTTCAGTAATAGTCATTTTTTACAATTTTTTTTTGAGACAAGGTCTCATCATATAGCCCTGACTTGCCTGTCTCTTACTGTATAGACTGGGTTAGCCTCACTTTTGTAGTGGTCTTCCTGTCTTTGCCCCTGAAGTGTTGGGATTATACTTTTGTGTCACGACACCTGGCCTCACAATATTAATCTTGTGGATCCACAGTGTAGGAAGTCTTTCCTTCTACTACCTTCGGTTTCTTCCTTTAGTGTTTTAGTTTTCATCATAGATGTCTTTCACCTCCTTGGTTAGGTTTATTACTAGGAATTTGTTTCTACTATTATGAAAGACATTGTGTTACTGATTTCTTTTACAGCAAGTTCATTAGTGGTATATAAAAAAAAGCTACTGATTTTGGTATACTGATTATGTATTCTTCTATTTTACTGGTGGAATCATTAGGACTTTTAAGTACAGAAACATATTATCTGCAAATAGGATGATCTTTTTCTCTTCATTCCTCTAAGACTTCAAGTATTATATTGAATAATATATAGAGTAGATACCCATGTCTTTCTTACTATTTTATTTTTATTTTATATGTATATTGCCTGCATGCATGTAAGTGCACCCACCCATGTTATGAAATGCCCATGGAGGTCAAAAGAGGGTGTCAGATTCCCTGGAATCAAACTCAGGTCCTCTACAAGAGCAGCCAGAGCTCTTAACTGATGAGCTATCTCTCCAGCCCCCACACGTCTTTCTTATGGCTAATTTTAGCAGAAATGCTTTCCGTTTTCCTTCATTGGTTGGCTATAGAGTTGGTGTATACAGCCTTTATTACATCAAGATATATTTCCTATATTCTCAGTTTCTTCAGGGCTCAAAGATCTTTTTAGGATCTACTGAAGAGATCCTGTGATTTCTGTCCCTAAGTTTATTTACATGCTGTATTACATTTATTGATTTATATATGTTAAACCCTCCTTACAACCCTGGAACCAAATCAAAATAATTGTGGCACAGGAACTTTTAAATGTGTTGTTGAATTCAGTTTGCAAGTATTTTATTGAGATTTTTTTTAAAAAATTATTTTTATTTTATGTGTATGCATGTATTGCCTCCATGTAGGTAAGTGCACCCGTGTCATGCAATGCCTGCAGAGGTCAGAAGAGGCTGTCGGATACCCTGGGACTGGAGTTACAGAGTTACGGACATTTAAACCTGGGTCTTCTGCAAGAACAACCAGTGCTCTTAACCGCTGAGCCATCTCTCCAGCCCCGAGATTTTGTGTGTGTGTGTGTGTGTGTGTGTGTCTGTGATGGTTTAAATAAGAATGTCCTGCATAGGCTCCAAGGATTTGGACATTTTGTTCCCAGTTGGTGGCACTGTTTTGGGAGGTCTTAGAAGGTGCAGCTGTCCTAGAGGAAGCACGTCACTGGGGATAGGCTTAGAGAGTTCTTAAGCCTTGTTGGATCTCAAGTTGCTCCCTTGCTTCCTGTGCCTGCTTGAAGACATGAGAGCTTTGCTTGTTCCTTCTCCAGACACCTCTGCCACATGCCTCCTGGCTGTGATGGACTGTAATTCTTCTGGAACCATAAGCTAAATAAATTCTTCCATCTAAAAGTTGCTTTGGTCAGCATATCATAGCAACAGAAAAGTAACTAATACAGTGTCTATGTTTTGGCCTTATTAATCAGGCTGATTTTATTACTGATTTTCCTCAAAGAACCAGATTTTTGTTTCATTTTCTTCACTCTTCTGATATTCTTTGATATGTGTATTTATCTATGTTGTTCTTCTTGTTACTTTAATTTTAATATTTTCTTCTTTTTTCCCTTATAGTCATTCTTTAGGGACTTTGCTTTAGTAACTATTTCCCTATTTCCTGCATCAAATTTTTCTACTTTCTACTAAATCACTACCATCATAACATGTTCCCAAGCATAGTTACAAGCCATATCATAAGAAACAAAAAGGGGCTGAAGAGATGGCTCAGCAGTTAAAAAGGGCAAACCACTCTTACAAAGGACCTAACGTTGGTTCCCAGTACCCCTATGGCAGCTCACAACTATTTGTAACTCCAGTTTCAGGGGATCCAATGCCCTCTTCTGCAGGAACTGCGTGCACATGGTATACTTACATGCAGGCCACACACACACACACACACACACACACACAGAGAAATAAGCCTATAAAAACTATATTTAAAAAAACACCTTCCCAGGCTCCCACGTCATCCTCAGGCTGTTGTCCCACCCATCTACAATACCACTCAGTGGGTTATATCATGACAAGAGGTCATCATCTAGAGGCCACTCCATTTAGTGGCTCACCCCTATCTCCACAGTGAAACTGCTTTTATAAAGGTCATCAGAAAGTTCCACCTTTCTATACCTAACAGTGAACTTTCTTCTTACTCATCATTCAGCAGTATTTGACAGCTTTGCTCCTGACTGCCAGCTCAACGCACTCCCCTGGTTTCCCCTTTCTAAATCTCTCTTGGTGTATTCCAGGGTTCTCAGTCACTACTTTTTATTCTCAATGTATATAAACTACTCGGAGCCCTTCATCCACTCCTAAAATCTGAAGCATTATCTTACATGTCCAAGCTATTTTATATTATTCATAATTTGTAGAGTATCTTACAATTGTCTTCAATATTTACTTTTGCTTGAGGCAAGGTCTCTCTGGCCTAGGCTGGCCTTGAACTCACAATGCTCCTCCTACCTCAGCCTCCCAAATACTGGGATTACAGGTGTGAGCCACCAGGACTGGCTAATACTTACATGTTTTAATCTATGTGGTTAATTACATTCTCTGAGGACAAAATCTCCATAGTAACTTGTTTTTTCCATCCATTTAGATTATCCAAACAGTGTTCTATGCCATGGTAAGCCCTAAGAAAGCACTATAAACACCATTTCTGACTTTACACAAGCACTAAGAAATGTATAGCTTTACTATACCATATAGTAATTATATAATCTTTAAAGCAAAATGTTATATTTATATAAAATTACATATTTTTATATATTATATATATTTTAAAGCAAGGTTGATTTTACTTCAAGGAACCTCTGTGTACCAAATTGTTTCTGAACACACAGATATGAGATACACTTTATGGATTTTAAATCAGATAATAAACTTCACTTTGAAAAGTCTCACAACTGATCGGTTACAGACTGTACAGCCACATTTCACAATATGGCACTAGCTATAGTCACAGATACTGAAGGGGGCCCTACTCTAAATAAGTAGATGTAGAAACCGAGGTGTGTCAAACAATCTTTTTTATTGTTCACTGAAAAATAAAAGTTTGGAAGGTCTACTGTATTGTATATTGAATGCAAAGGCATATACTGCAGGACGCAGGATACAAAGGTCTAAAATATAAAAAGCTATGCACTTTATAGAGAGACAATGCCCATTTCCTCTAAACACTAAAAAAAGTACTAAAGCCAATTACTAAATGAAACAGATAAACATTGTAATCATAAATAGAATGTTCTAGTTGGATTTGATGGTACAATCTTGGATGGTATAATCTTAGTACTTGAGAGGCTGAGCAGGGGGATTTTGAGTTTGAGGCCAGCTTAGAGTACACAGCAAGTCCTTGTTTGAAAACAAAATGTTCTAAGCAAGCACTTTAAAATTGTTGTGTGATGCTGTCCACCTTGACTACTTGGAGTTAGGATGGTGGGTCCTAGAAATACACTAAGTGAACAAACAGTCAACCTTCTAGGAGCAGCTCCTAGGAGCAAGGTCCTTGATGCTTGTGACAGGTTGCCACCCAGGTTGGTTGGCTAGTGAGGCATCAGTGTCACCCTGGGGCCCACACCAACTGCTAACACCTGTTTGGGAACAGGGATGAAGCTACTGGGAGGAGAACTAGGACTATGAAATATTCTGTCACATCACTTACATTTATGCTGGGGATAAATGCCATTTTCTGTGCAGTTTGCAGACATTGTCACTTCCTTTCAACACATTTTATCTATATGTTTCTAAAGAGGCCACTGCTACCATATAGCTAGTCAGACAGGCCAGAGTAACCGGTGATAAACATCAACAGTTATAAGCATTAGTTCAAATGAACTAAAGATAAATACAGCTTATATTACTGAGCAATAGAATCTCTTATTCACATGGCAACAGAATCTCTATTATTCAAGTACTGAAACAGTATTCACATTTTCTTATTTTTATGTGCATGCATATATTTAAGTGCACCCGTGTTGTGCAATATCCATGGAGGTTAGAAGAGAGTGTTGGATCCCCTGTGGGTATTGGGATTTGAACACTGGTCTTCTGCAAGAACAGCCACTGTTCTTAACCGTTGAGCCATTTCTCCAGCACCCAATATTCACATTTTCAAGGTCAATTTTATGTCCACATTTGTCTAAACAGAAGACCCTGAATGGAGGACAGCATACATCAAACCTCACTCCTCTTTAATTATTACCAGGGCTCTGAAAGCTCATTATAGACAGCAAAGTAAAAAGTAGCATTTCAACGTGTAAGTATGAGACTCCTCCCTCCCTCGAGGCTTCCTTGACAAGAGGCAAAGTGCCTATTTGAGATAGCAGTGCCTGGGATATGACAATACTCACAATGTAAGAGTAGTCAGGGTTACAACACTCCCTTATTCACAGGTAATAAAGGATTACTAAATAATTTCCTGAGCTAAGACAATAGTTTCACCAAAGAAAATTTTCTTTTCATCTGAGATTTTTTAAAATATATATCTGTGTGTGTCTGTGGGTATGTGTACATGAGTGCAGATTTCTGTGGAGGCCAGAGGCATCAGACCTCCCTGGAGATGGAATATACAGGCAGTTGTTAGCTGCCTGATGTGGAGGCTAGGAACTGAACTTGGGTCCTCTGCAAGAGCAGTATGTGCTCTTAACCACTGAGCCATTTCTCCAGCCTCTTATTTTGAGTTTTCATTAAATGAGATTTTATAATCCTAGCTTCTTAACAGTCTGGTATTAGTACTTAAGACTATTTGCTCAGAGTTCAAGTGTGATTTATAGTAAAATTCTCAGATTTTCCATACTTCATAAATGAACAAATATTTTATCACAATATCTACATACAATATTTAAAAATCAGTAGTAACAAACACCTATATGTTTTTCATATTCACTTTAACAAAGAATACCATGCTCTGGCAGGGATAAATCCTCAAGTGTCCACATCACCCTTGGGGCTGATGGGCTTCTTCTTCCTCTGGGTTCTGCATAGTGATTTTCACTGTTTAATCTTGATGTCCTGGTCTCTTCTAGTCCAAGGAAAATGTATGTAGAAACAACACACTCCAGCAGAAGCACTGGTACTAATTAATGCTGATGTACCTTTAAGGGGACAACTACAGTTGCTTCTCAGGTTGTTCACAGCCTTGCTAGAAGCCTTACTCCTCTTCAGTCTCTGAGACACTCAAAAATTTTAAGCATGGTGGAGGCTCATGGACTAAGGGTTCAGTTAGCTCAAAACACTGGCTGCATCTTCATGGCAAACACATTTGTTCTTTGTTGCACTCATCTGTCCTGCCTCTGCTGAACCATCTCACTGCAGCTCTCATTTCTTTGGATGCTCTATTGTACGTGCAGGCTTTGCTGAGGCATCACTTTCATGAACAGATAATTTCCACTTTATAAGCTCCCCAAAGACTTCAAGCGGAAACAATTTATAGTTAGTAAATTCACAACTCACCAGCATTTCTTATTCATAAAGGAAATGAGAGGAGTTATATAGAATATAAACAAACACCTTGTATGTTCTACAAAGGGAATGCTGTTCTTACTTCCAAAACCCATAAATACTAGAGATTATGAGTTACGTGATAGTTTGAAATTTGTAGCTTAAGATCTATCTCCAATTTCACACTACATCATTTGGGTGAAGGGGCTGTTCAGTGTCACAGGAACAAAAGAAAAGTGTCCACATCACCCTTGTTCTACAACCCACCAGATCCAAAGACGCCCTCCCTGCCAAGGGCACATCATTCCTGCCAGCTGCAGCTTCACGTCAACCAGCCTAGCTCCTAGTATTCAGACAGCAAACACAGCAGCTTTAAACTGAGGAAACTCGCAGACTTGTACAGTTTTATATTTTCCCAAGGAAGTCAGGATATAATGAATCTTAAAGATCCTGATTTTGTACTAAAGTAAATAACAGAATGCCTCAAGAAGAAAAATATCTAATGGAAAAAAAAACTTGAGGAAAATACCTTTTATATACAAATTTTACCTTGGCTAAGTTAAAGTCAGTATATGCATTTAAAAGTACAGCCATGACTAAGATTTCTCTAAGACTGTGTTAGTGAAGTACATGGAAACAGTTCACCGAAGGGAAAGCCCTTTAACATTTTGTGATGTCAGAACACAAAGAGACAAAGGCTAACCAGGATGCAATATTCAGAAATTTACTTGTTTCAGCAGGAGTTGAGTCAGGAGACAGTCAAATACCAAAACCCCAGCCGCTTTGGGTGTTCTCAGGAACGTCCCACTTGGATCTCAATGATTCTCATCCTCGCCCCACATGGAAATCACATGAAGCTTCAAAAATTACCAAATGCCCAGGATAATTAAATCTGGAGGGGGAGCCCAGAACAGTAGGCTTTGTTTTCCCAGATGTCTCAAATGTGTAGGCAGGCTGCAGACCACTGCTGCATCCCTTTCAGAGGCCTGCTTCTTGAAAGTATAGAAACAGAATTCTAGTCTACATAGCTCTGCTTTTTCTAAGTTCCAGGAGAAAAGGGGGAGCTTTTTGGAAAAAGTCACAGCTGTGCTTTCTCTGAAGACACAGGCTGCTATTTTGGAGGTGCTGATTGTGGGAGGTTATCTGGAGCGTTGGTTATAAAGAAGAAAGTCCTTGTCTTGGCAGAGCAGGCAGAGTTTCAGGCTTCGGCAGCTGCCTCCAGCAACAAAAAATGCCCAGATGCCCATGAGCACCATGAGTATATATGCTGATACCAGATTTACTCCATAATGAGGACTTAGGAAGGTCTGCAAAGGAAAAATAAATCAGCTTGGGTAAAAACACAAGTTTATTAAACCTGTGGAATAAACAAAGATAGAGGAAAATACACAATACTTTCAACAGCTGGATTGTGTCTTATCAAACATGATAATGTATGTCATGTGTTAAAGATGCAAAAAGGCACAGGGAACTAGTCAACAGACACTGGTCTGTGATCCTTCACTTGGCTAGACTCAAATGGCAAGCCTAGAAGACAGTCATTAACCAGAATCTAATGGGTTACTTAACAGAAAACACATGTAGAACCTGGTCCTGGTTTATATTCATTTCTGTGTTAATTAAATTGGTTCTTAGAATTTGCAAGAAAGCAAGGCACATTCAGATTAATTTAATCTGAATATTTAGTATTCAAAGGAACAGGAGGAAATGGCTTCTTTTTCAGCTGTGCAACTGCTATGGATTCCAAAAGTGTATTTACCATAAAGCATTCACAGGACCATAGCTCAGTGGTATGGCACATGTTCTTATCATGCATGAGGGCCTGGGTTCAATTCTCAGCACCCAAACAAAAACAAATGACTAGTAGAGTACCAGAAGCTGCTGTGCCACCCTCGTGGAGCTTATATATTGGCAAGGCAGGCAGATAATGAAGAAATAAATTAGTTACAAATGGTGATTACTACTTAGACAGAAAAATTATAGTGATGAATACTAGGATAAGAACAAGGTGATCTACTTAAGGGCCAAGAAGGCCCTAAGAAAGTAGCACTTAACCTGAACCAGATGGGAGGAGGAGTTAGCCACTCCTGTATAAGCTGGCCATAGGGAGGGGCTGATGAGGGGGTCAAAAGAGTTAGATAGAGCTGAAATCTAGAGAAGGGCCAATATTAATAAAGTTTAGGAATGGAGGGAATAGCAGATTAGGTCAGAGGGCAAAACAGGGGCCAAATATGAAGCCTGTGGGTAAAGAGTGTGAATTTCAACAGATGGAAAAATCTATGTGTTAATGCTATTATGTCTCATAATTATTTAGAAAAAATGAGAATGTAAAAGATGTTAAAATAAATATGGGAGCTATTTTCCAAAATAGAAAAAATGAGAAAGGCTAAGCAAGCGATGAAGGTCTGTGTAGGTTTGTTATGATATATAAAGGATGAGACAAAAATAATATACACATAATCTTAAAATTTCTATGGTCATAGTTTAGTCAACTAGTTTAAGGAACAAAATATATATCTAGTCAAGGTTTATCTGAGAATATTTGGTTTTTTACCCAAGCCTTATCTACATAGCACATGATAATTAAAAGTACCAGACTGGTGGAACTAACCTTATTGGGTGTTTAACAGCCATAGTTTGAGGCCTATACTAATGTGGTCAGAGGGACTTAAAGGACAGGTTTTGCCCCTTGCCCTCCAAGGTCAACTAAGTTACAGGGCACTATGGAACATCTCTCAAAATGTCCTGTAACTGTGGTGAGTCACCTGTGCTCTTGTTCAGGGAGGCCAGACCCCACGAGATGGACTTGAACCAGTGTCTAGTCTACAAAGAGGAAGGTCAACTCAGAGGAAACACT